CTGGAGAATGGAGGAAACATCTCATATGTCATCAACAAAGAGGTTTCTGTTCATTTTTTACTCTTACCCACCATCTTTCTTTTTTGTGTTATCAAAACTAAAAGAGCAGCTACTCAGAGTTTTTTTTACACGTAGATAAAGAGTTGGGTTTCAAATGACATTTACACAATTAACAAACATTTGGTTTGTTGAACCCTCTGATACTATTAAATTAAAGTAGTTAATAATAACGCAGGGACATTTATAATCCAATGAATGACTAGATGCAGATTACAGTTGGGTTTTTTTTTTTTTACTTCTGATGAAGTAAATTATTTTAAAAAAAGCAAATAGAAACACAACATTTTTCAATCTAAAATGATGGAACAGTACCAGGAAGGTTAAAATTAACTACTCTAATGCTCGACTAATTTTATGTTGTAATGTAGATGTAACTGCACTTTGCTTTATAATGCTTAAATTAGGTAAAAAGTGTTCAGTGATCCTATTGAGTCACTAAAGAGCTGCAGTGTATCTTCTCCAGTGCTCTTTTGTAGTCACTAGCAGTGTGAATGACCTGAGCAGTAACCGGCAGCGCAGCATCCAGAAGCTCCAGGTCCCAGTGGTCGGGACGCAGTATGTGTGGAGCTGTCTGGACCAAGGGCATCTCCTGCCTTTGACGGAGCATAATTTAGCCCCACAGCTGCCGTATCCCGGCTCTGAATTCCTTCCCCGTTCAGGTAGGAGTTTCTTGTACCTCATTTAAGGAATTCTTTTCTTTCTTTGTTAGAACAGATGTTTGTCTCGAGTGATATAACATGAATATATTTCAGAACACATCTTTAATTGATGGTGTTAATCTTGTATCCACTACAGGCCTGTTCAGATTCAGCAGATACTGCGTGTCAGCAGAGGGGTGGAGCTTCAGTTGTTCAGGGAGGATTTAGGTAACATTAAACCCCTCCTCCACTCCACTAGTTCCAGCAGTTTTGTTGGAATACTGTCTCGGTAAGAGTTATTAATAAATAATTTTTAAAATATTAACTTAAAGTGAGTGCTGTCTTAATGTAACAATCAAGGAAATGAGGAATACAAAAAACAATAAAGGCCAATCCTGAAAAATAAAACAAAACAAAACAAAAAATCTAATATCTGATTATACATTGATTGAAGTTACTTTTTGTAATGTCTATTCAGTAATTTTCTCTTCTGCAATAATCGTGGCTTTTCTTTATTTTTGACCTTTTCTCAGAAAATGTTGATATATATATATGATTAAATTGTCATTAATTTGATTGATCAGCTTATCATGTAATTAATTGAATATACATTTTCAAACATTCTTTATAGAGGTCTGCTGCTGCCCAGGGTTGGAGTTGAACAGCATGGAATTGAGAGGACGGATATCGGCAATCTTGGAGGAGGAATCTACTTCAGTGACTCTCTGAAGTCAGTTATCTTTAGCATTACTCAGTCCTCTCTTCATGTAACAGATTTATAAATAATATGAATCCACTTTCATGACAACTGGAGATTTTAGCCAGTCAGTACGTTTCTGCTCTGTGTTAAAGGACTAGTGTGAAATACTCCAAGCCCAGTGTAACTGACGGCTCTCGGCTGCTGTTGGTGTGTGAAGTGGCGTTGGGTCGGTGTAAGGACCTGCTGAAGAAAGACACCACTTTGACTTGTGCTCCTGACGGCTACCACAGTGTACATGGAGTCCGCCGCTCTCCCAACAGACTCTCTGAATTTGAGGTGCTTTTCTTACTCATTTTCTGTGTACTTAAATATTCTGCTTGTGTTTTTGGGATCTGATGTGACTCTTGCATTGGTGCGTGTGTTTATATTTGACAGGATGATGAGTTTGTCGTCTATAACACAGAGCAGATCAGACTGAAATATCTGGTCCAGTACAGTCTGGAGGGGGACGAGTTAAAAGAGTTCCAGCCTCATATTAACACTCAGCTCACGCAGATCACTGACACAGCGCCTGATATCTGTGAGTAACATCCAGTGAACAGGACATGCTGAGAGAGACCAGCTTTTATATGTGGAGGAGTTGGGACTGTCAAATTGATTACATTTTAAAATTCAAATTAATTAATCGCTATATATTTGTTGATATTTGCTAAAGAAAAGCAAACAATTTTAGAATTTACATAGGGCTATTAAATAATTACATTTAACTGTTGCTCTGTAAAAGTGAATGCTATAATATTTGTTGTTACATTCATCAGTGGTTTTGTGTGATTGTGTGTTTTTTAGTGTCCAGTGATGACAGTGAGGGTTTGGAGTCCACTAAGAATCCTCTGGAGGAGATGAACGCAGGTTTGTTGGACAGCAGTGGTCAGAAACTTCCTCTACATGCTGTCAATGTGAGGTGTAAGCTGATGGACCTGCTGTGTCAGGTATGATACTACAGCGGTGGACTGCAGTGTGGAATTTAAAAGAAGTGCTGAGAAATGAGCAAGATGAAGGATTCCTTTCACATATAGAAGAACAAGATGGATAATCAAACCTAATAAACTAAAACTAGAACTAGGCAGCGATGAACTCAATCAAGACAATCAAGAAATAAAAAGCAACAGAATTGGCTAAATAAAAGACAGATAAGAGCCAAACTAAAAGACCTTGAAATCCCACTTCCAAACATGTAGACCAGAACACTGAATTATAATTTCAAACCTCAACCCTAACTTTGTCTCCACTTTTACCAGGTCATCATTTTTCAGACCTACACAAACCAGAGTGCTGTTCCCATTGAAGCAAAGTATGTCTTTCCACTGGAGGAGACGGCAGCAGTGTGTGGATTTGAAGCCTTTATCACTGGGAAACATGTCATTGGAAAGGTGGATCTGGAGCTGACGTATGTGTGATAATGTATTAGAAGGTTTCTTTAAGGTCATGTGTTTATGTGAGGCAGGATGTATTTACTATCAGTGTGGGGAATCTTCCTCCTGGAGCCACAGTTCTGATCAAGGTGACGTTCATCACTGAGCTGCTGGTCAGATCAGGCTCTATAATCTTCTCACTGTCTGGCAGCGTGGCACCATGGCAACAGAGCGCCGCCCTTAATCAGACAACTCAGGTACGATGGTCTTTTGTCACTCTATTTAAAATCCTGTTTGGCCAGCTGATTGTTGCAGTGTTTTGACTGACAGTTGTGTTGCATTTCAGGCAACTGTTGAAAAGATTGGTGTGACGGAGCTTCAGTCAGAGGGGTGAGAATCTCAAACGCTGGAGAATTCACAGGGAAATTCACTAAAGATTCACTAAAAATAAGTTGCGGCTGCTGATGAGTAACAATATAAAAGCCAATTATTTAATGTAGCAAACCACATGATTTAGCATAATTTAACACTTAACCTTTAACCTTTATAACATCATGCTTTATATACAGTAGCACCTGGTCTACTTTGGACAATGGGTGGTTACAGGGTTGTTGCGTTGTTCGGATTAGTGTATGGTTTTTTATGGTTTTTCATTCTTCAGGGAGTTTTCTCTGTCCATGTCCATTGAAATGCCTTATGAGATCATCAACTTGAGCTCTTCACACCGCATCAAAACCAAGGTTATTAATTCACTTTTGTGCATTATCTTACTAAATACTGTATTTTCTGAAGAAAAAGAAACATTCAGTTATGAACCATATTAACAGTATTAGTGTTTTCCCCATTCAGAGGACAGACTGTAAGGCAGTGATCAGCACGTTTCCGGGACAGACTCTGGGATCTGAAGGGTTACATGTGTCCTTCAGTCTTTCTAATATCCACATGCCCAGGATGTGGGTCGAGAACCATCCGGATAAAGATAGCCAGGTGAAGAAATATTACTCTAATCTGTTTTCCTGTTTGTCATGGATATTTTGCAACATATTGCACAAAAAATTGCCACTCTCCATCTTACGCACACTGACAATAATGATCTGATCCGGATCTGATCCCTGCAGGCCTGCATGCTGGTGTTTTATCCAGACTTTAAGTCAAGCGGGGTGTCCAGCTCTGGAGGTCCGTCCAGTGTGAGCGATGTGGTCATTCTACTGGACTCCTCCAACGCCATGCGGGGAGACGCCATGCTAAACGCCCGCAGGATTGCCCTTCAAGTCCTCAAATCTCTGGACCGCTCACTGAAGATCAACATCATCTCTTTCAGCACTGGTTAGTGCTCACTGAAACGATCTGATATTGTTTTATTGAACATCACGTGGACATTTTCATTTCCCTATTATTCTTGTTATTCAGAGTGAAGCATTGTGGGTAAATGTGTGTTTTTACAGATTACAAGGAAGCTTTTCCTGCACCAGTGCCTTTAGATGAGGAATCTGAAGCAGCCAGAAAATTTATTATGGTGAGGAATGTTTAAAAATGGTTAAAGATGGTTCTGAATTTCAGTTCCTTTGCGTCTCATTGCATTTTCCCTCTCTTCAGTCGTGTAGCGGCTCTGGTGGCAGCACTGATCTGTGGCGGCCTCTCCGGATCCTGAGTCTGCTGCCTCCCTGCCGGGGCGTGAGGAACATCCTGCTGCTCTCTGATGGACATGTTCAGAACCAGCCTCTGACCCTACAGCTGGTCCGAGAAAACTCCTGCCACACGCGCTTCTTCACCTGCGGACTCAGGTCTGCCTTTAAACAAACATCTTTATTTTTCTCCTTCACTTACAATGAATTTCTGAGCCTACAGTTTGATTGTGTTTGTGTTCGTCTAGCTTGACAGCTAATCGTCATATGCTCAGAGCTTTGGCTCAGGCAGGTGGAGGAACATATGAATTTTTTGACACAAAGATGAAACACACTTGGACAGAGAAGGTGAATCACTCTCTTTATTATATTGTTTTTTAATAACTTAAAAGGAAACATAATCTTTGCAATATGGGCCAGTCTGAGGCTTGAGTTGAACAGATTTGTGGGTAATTTCAGGTGCGCGCTCAGGTTCAGCGTATTGAGTCTCCAGGCTGCAGATCAGTGGCAGTGAAGTGGCAGCAGTTTAGTCCCACAGCGCTCCCTCCTGTTCAAGCCCCTTCACAGCTTCACGCCCTCTTCAGTGACTGTCACTCTCTGGTATACGGCTTTGTGCCTCACTGCACTCAGGTAGACAGACTTTACTGTTATATTGGTGCATATAAGTAAAGATGATTAAATATTCTTCCTTGTGTTCATTATTTGACAAGCAGTATGTAAAACATATCTTGATTATTTTTAATTAGTATTTTAGATACTTAATTCTAGATCTCAATTTAGATCTTAAATCTCTTTAGATCTCAATTGTCATTTATCAATATACTGTATGTAATATTAATCAGAAGACTATAAAAAGCATTAAGATGTTTAAACTGAATTAACCAACTATTTGTGTATTTATTGTTTTGAATTGTGTAATATTTACTCGTTTAGGCCACACTGTTTGGTGATTTGAGTGGACAAGAGATCAAAACAATGGTTTCCACCACAGAACTACAAAAGACAAAGGGAACTGTGAGTGAGCATCTTATATACTTCATATAATCTGAAACCTCATCAGTTATTCATTAGGTGTTTGAAGAGTGTGTGTGTGTGTGTGTGTGTGTGTGTGTATAGTTCCTTCACAAGTTAACAGCAAGAGCGATCATCAGAGACTATGAAGATGGCATTCTAGGCAACAGTGAGGCAGAACACGAGGTACAATATTTGGCTGCATGATGATAATTTTTATATAATTGGCAGATTTGCTAACAGAAGAACTTGACTTGCTCTCTTTTATCTCTCTTCTATCAGGGGAAGAAAGCAGAGCTGAAGTCCTACATCATTGAGCTCAGTAAAGAGTTCTCCATCTTGTCCCAGTTCACAAGTTTTGTCGCCATTGAAGAGAGGGTATGATTACTGCTAATTTAAGGATTATGTGTTCAAATCATTCCTTGAACATATATTACTAAAAAAAATTAATGACAAAAATATTTTTATTTTTACATAATATTTATTTACAAATTCACCCAAAAAAGGCTTAGGCCTAAATCCTATTTATTAAAATATTAATAATAAAAATATATTATTTCAACAAAATATTAATGAAAATATTATTAATTAATTAATTAATCATTTAAAATTAATACTGAATAAAGAATTGCATTTTCTGACTTGTGACACTAAATGGCCAAACAGGAAAATGTATTGCCAATGCTGATAATTAAAAAATACCAATATTGTCTGATTTATTAGCCTTGAACATGTCACTCAACTTCTACTAAAGTGTGATATATAAAAATTAAACTGAATGGCTTCTGTAACCTCAGTTGCTCTTTGCAGGACCAGAATGAGCTTGACACTGGATTCACAGATATTCCTAAAATCATCTCAGAGGAGGATGTGGATATTTTGCCATATATGGGCTGGACTGAAGAGAAGCTGAAGGCCGCGCATAGTATTGGTGCTGAAGATGATGATGTATGGGTAACAACAAAATGGTCTATTACAACTGTTGTCATATAAATGTAGCACCATGTAATGTATTCACAACAATGCATTTAAAATTTAGGGGTTTTTTTTCCAGATGGAATCAGAAGAATTGTCCAGTAGCAGCTCCACGTATCATGTTTTGGATACGGATTGCATGGAAGAATACATTTGGAATGAAATATCTAGTGAAATTGATCATTGCGAAATGGAGGATGCTGAGGGATCTAGTAATTCTTTTATAGAAAGGTCTGCAGCTCCCCCTGAACCTCAGCTAATATCCAAACCTTATGCTTCTTGCTACAGTACCATCCAGAGTCCTTCTCATTCTGAGAGTAGCATTGACGTTTTCATAGGCTCACGCAGGCGTTCTGCAAATTTAGATGTGTTTGCTATTACCGCTCCAAAGCCTTATAGTGGCCGTGCCACCGCACTTGACCTCTCTGGTATATCTGCTCCAAAGTCTCACCGTCGCCAGGCTGCCGCTCCGACTGTTAGTGCCATCAAGTCCATACCTTCCTCCATGAGTGACAGGCCTCCCCTTCACCCTGCCGTAATGCCTCCTTATGATTCCTCCATGAGTGATCCCTTTTACTGTACTGCCGCAGTGCCTTCTTTCCTTCAGTATCCTCCTATTTTTGCATCAGCAGACTCTCTGTCCAGAGATGACAGCCTTCCTCCTGTTGGTGCCAGTCTGCAAAGTACTAGCTCCATGTATAAAAGACGTCCCATTTTACATGACAGCAGTGCACATGTAATACAGTTTGCAGGTCCTCCTGATTCTACTCATTTTGCATCCACACAGTCCATGTTCACGACTCCCCTGCCACCTCCTCCTCCTCCTTCAAGCATGATGGCTGCTGTCCCCGCAATCTATTCTCAGTTGTACTTTCCCCCTACATTTAGTGACTGCAGTAGTAGCCCCACACTTTTGAGTGAGTCTCTGAGTTTGTGTTCCTCATCATTTGGACATTTCTTTGAAGCATCTCGTCAACAACAAGCACAACAGCAACAAGAAGTGCTGCAAGATGTGCAACTACAAGAGCAACAAATATATCTGACTTCTATGAGTTCTGCACCTGGTAAGTTGACTCTGATTGATGAGGTTGATGAGGTTCCTTCTGTGATCATTGTTCAGATGGATTAAAACATCTTTTCTATACTTTGTGTCATTTCTCATGAAGCTGCAGACAGTTTCACTTTTGAGCTTGACACTTCTCGATATAAGAAAAAAAAAGGAAAAAGAGGAAAGGCAAGCTTGGCACGACATTTCGCACCACCTCACGACAGCTTGCCAAAAATGAGAAGAAAATATGACACAGTGGCCTGGAATGAGCTTTTTGAACTTCAAGATAAGGTGTTTACAAATGATTTAATACACTAGATTATATACAGTATGTAAATGATTGAGGGAATATGAACATATGCGTTGTGTTTGGATGTAGGATGGATACTGGGAGTGCACTGACAGGCTGAGCAGCTTCCTCAACCTGGACGTAGACTTTTTTGCCAATGTCTTCCTTAAGGAGAAAGGCATCCGTTCTTTTGGTAAGATTTTTTTACATGCCTGTTGCTGGTCTGGTCCATATTGCAGCTTATTCTCGACAAGAACCGCCCACTTAGACAGGAAGAGACATCTGACTGGCACGTAAAGCAACTAATCACAGTTTGTTCATATGTGCCATTTAGGTGCCATATGTACCTTGTGAACACAACTGTTTCCAGACAGACTGAGAAAAACACCTGTGCCTTTACTGTGTAACACCATCCAATCATAGTAGAGCTTACTAGACTGAGAAAGTGCTTTCCAGTTTAAAGTGCAATATGCATCAGGCTGAATCTGAATATAGTTTAAAATAATCTAATCTTTATTTTTCAGGCACAGTTTGTCAGTGAGAATCAGTTAATCAGTCACATGTTTTGTCTGTCAGGTGTGAAGGCTCATGCTGACATCCTGAGACTGGTGGCGACTCTTCTGGTGCTGCAGCTGATCCGGGTGAAGAAGCTGGCAGTGGGACAGCTGCTCGAGTCTCTCCTCCGGCTGAAAGAGTCCCAGGAGCCCAGGTACCAGCACACGTCCTCATGCAGCGCAGTGATTTACTCTTGTATTTTTGGATCCATGACTTTCTACTCTTCTCCATTCAGACCGATGTACTGGGAAGCAGTGAAGAGGGCCGTGGCCTGGGCCTGCCGGACAGACAGACAGTATCCGTGTGTGTGCAGCAGGCTGGAGATCGGCCGGGATTGGGAATCATCTACACGTCAACTACTGGGCTGTGATTCTCCACACCCATATTCCCCACTCAAACCTGTTCTGGAGAGACGTACGGGTGTATCAGTCATGTAGAAACTGGACAGACACTTCCCTCTTCATTGACAGTTGTTGTTTTTGCTGTTTGCTTAATATTGCAAAAATCTTTATAGCCTTAAATTGTCTCAAAGATATATTTGGACACTTCAGTCACACTTAAAATGTCTGAATTTCATTGCAAAATGTAAATCCAAGTGTCATTTATAAATAAATGATGCAAAACTAACTTAACTTTTCTGGAAGGTTCACAGAGCAATTAACAGCTGCAGTTTATCACATTATACACACTATGAACATAATGCACAATCTTTAGTTGAAAGTTAAATTCTTTTATATGTTTTTTTTTAAGTATATGTATAGACATTCAGTCAATAAGTTTGGCTTCAGTACTCAGTCCAAATACTTTTTGTGGTACTGTATTGTTCTGTGTGAACTTGAGGAGAAGTTACTTAATACATCCACTAAAAATCACTTTCAGACCAGCTGGTTAACTGCTTGAAATGCATTTATGGCTATATGATGAGAATTATGCTTGGTTAACTGTATTTTAGTGGTCTTAGTAGAGTTTAATAAAGCAATTGTTGTGAAGTTTACGTTATTGTTATGTAACAGTATAATTGTATAACCACAAACCAAGTAATCGCTGTTTTTATCCGCTTTATTTCAGTGTTTTAGTTATTTCAGTATACAAAGTTAAACTAAATGAAAAGGAGAAATGTTGCTTTGGAAAATAGCTGAAATACAAAGTCTTTTATGTTTTACTTCATTTCAGGTTATTTGAAGTAATTTTTTATGATTTTAATTTTAGTTTCAGTTTTGGTTTTAGTTATCTATATAATAACCCTGATTGTAATAAATGAACATGCATTTGGATTTGGATTGTGGTATATATTGATTTTATGAACTTTCCTTTTATTGAACAGAAAGTACAAAAAATGACATACACAAGACATACACATTTTTACAGTAAATATACAGTGACTCAGGGATATACACAGACAGTTATTAATCATATAATATGATAAACCCAGTTGCATGTGCCTACATACACTATGTTCAGGCTCCGCTGTATATTTTGGGGAAAAGTGAAGTAAGACAGTCTGAGTAAGTCACCTGATGTCTGAGTCCATGCAAGACCACAATTGCAAAATATGTTTTTTCCCCCCCACATACATTACTGTGCCAGCATGAGTTTTTCAGCTGGTACATGATTTCACAAACCAATTTCCCAAAAGTAACCTAATGACATAGCCCATTATCAAATACCACTTTCTCAAAATCTTAATGGATACAACTACTGATTGTAACAATTTACTGATTTAATAATGCAATAATATTTACTGATTAAATATTGAAATTAACATGATAAGTTGTGTAAAAAGTGTAATGGAAATTCATAACTTGTTGACATAAGAACACAATATTTATTGGTACTGCAAACATTTTACATGAACAGTTTCGGATAATAGCAAGTTATGTTATGTTAGCAGATGTTTCAAAAGCAGCTGATAAATAACAAAAGTTTCATATTGATTCAATTCATAGGATGTATCCTGAAACATACTTTTAAAAGCTGAATTTATGTCCATTACATCTAGGTTTAAGCAGATGGTGAAAAAAAAAAAAATTTCATTATGGTTTAGGATGACAAACATGACTGGCTTGAGAAAACCATGATTGGCTTGACCATCACCAATCATTGGGGAGAGTTGATTATATTTAATATTATATTTGGAATAACCAAATAGAGATTATATTCTTGTTTTAATAAAAAAAAAATATTTTGCTTTAACAATTTCTGGTTAGAAGTACTACTTTTTTTTAACTGGATACGGCATCTACTGGATTGCAGAGAGAACAAGGATGACTGTGAACAGAAGTTGTAAGGATGACACTTTTGTAGATGCAGCACTGAATATGAAGTATGTCCTCTCCGTCACTCTGTTTGCTGAGGATAATCATAAAGAAAAGCAACATTTACTTTATAACAGAAACATAGTGTTTTTATGCTGCGTTTGTAACTCATTATTTGCTCTACATAGTACTGCATGCGTCATGCTATTTAATGTGTCACATCCAGCGTGTTTGTCCACAGTGTCCAAGTTGTCATCAAATTTGTTTTAACAAACTTGATTTGATATGCAATGCTCTGAGTAAATGTTATGATTATGGGCTATGATTATGAGTTCTGCTTAATAATTAGTTTTATCTTGACACTTTTTTCAGTCAACATCACTATTTTACCTGTTACAGTTGCCTCTGCGATAGCTTTCACAAGACTGTTCTGGATAAGACAGGTGTAGGTGTCATCTTCCTTTACTGGGTCTTCGAGGACACTAGCAACTCGCATGATTCCTGCAGTGTTGTTGATAAACTGGGTGCTGCTGTTTAAAAGCTGCCCGCTCTGACTCAACCAGCTAACCCCTGGTTGGGGAAACCATTTATTAGCCTGAGCAAATAGAGACCCATCTGCCCGTCGAGTAAATGTGGGCGCTGAGAAAGCTGTAAATAATACAAAGATTTGAGTGAAAAGCAAAATTCAGATATATACACTAAAATATGTGTCAAATATATCATTTTAAATATGTATGTATAAAGCAGAAATATATTCTCTGATTTTAAACATTAATTTACTTTAAAATAAATGAATAAATGTATTTACCAGCCACTCTAAGGTTAACGCTGGTAGTCCCTGAGACTTTTGGTGCATTGACAGAACAGCGAAACACACCCTCATCCTCCAGCTTCACATTTCTCAGCAGTAGGGAAGCGTTGCCCATTGATATAGCATCTGAGAACAGTTGAGCCCTGTTTTGGAACTGTGTGTTCTGCCCCTGAAGCTGGGCTGCTTTGTTCTTGTGTTCATAGACCACCCCACTGAGGGCGTCTTTCAGCCACGTAATTGACACATCATTGAATTGCTCATTGCCACTGTTGCTAAGGAACCTGCAATCCAGGACCACATCCTCCGCAAGGTTCCCCACAGTAGAGGGACTTCTGCTCTCAACGATACCTTGGGACACTTGGAAACAAACATGCACACAGACGTTTAGTTTATACATCAAAAGTCCAAATGCTTTTTTAGAACAGAATGCTTTACTAACCTGAAAATGCAATAGCCAAAATGAAAATGATGAGTCCAGAAATTACTACTATGAGAAAAATCATACTGCAAAAGACAAAAATTTGATGAACAACATTCAATATTGACTCCTTATACATATTATAATTTTCAGCCTGAAATGGTTTGAAAAAGTCTTTTACCTTCCAAAGATTATTTGTCCAATAGAAGCCATCCTGGTGACCTGTTCCTACTTTTAAGCAGTATCTTTGATGAATCGATGTACCACTCTGCTGAGCATCTCTGTAGACCTCATAATAAATCAACAGGCTTTAAGATGGATGAGCGCTTTCTAATCCTCAGACTAGTTTCAAACTTTACTTCCAGGGAAAGAGATCAGCACCTCCTCCCTGTGTCAATATTACCTCTGAGAGGTGTGTTCTGACACTCTTGATAACACACAGCTTGACAGAATTTACCTTTTCACCTAAATAATAAACAGGGAATACTAAACACAAACGAGTTTCTTTCTTCTGCTGAACACAAAAGAAGATATTTCGAAGAATGACGGTAACCAAACAGTTGATGGCCATTGACTTCCATAGTAGGAAAAAAAATGGAAGTCAATCATCAACTGTTTGGTTACCAATGTTTCTTCAAAACATCTTCTTTTGTGTTCAACAGAAGAAAGAAATTCATACAGGTTTTACAACTTGAGGGTAAAAGACATACAGAAGCCTGTAGGGTCTTGATACGTGATTTAAAAACTTTTTTAATTTGCATCTTAAAAACATGAAGCTAATGCATTAGATGCTAAAAAACAGCTTTATAAAATTAAACAACTTCATTTGCCTTGAACCCATGCTCTCCTTATTAAAAGGGAATGTGCCTAACATGCATGTATGTGTTTATCAGTGATATGTGAATTATGTCTATAATAAACCATGATGTGTGTGGGATACATGTGGATCTACCCCTACAGCACTATGGTTTTATTGTTTATTTATTCTGTTGTAGTTGTTGTTGTTTTTAATTTACACCATTTTTTCAGGGTAGTATCAAAATTGTTATTGTACAAATATCTGTTAATTTGCAGCAAATGTGTCGTCATGTCATTTGAAAGGTCTCACAGAGTAGAATAAAACAAGCATCATTGTTGGGCTTTGACTAAACTTGAGCGAGGCAATACTTCTATGTCACTCAGAAAACAATCATTTCAAATCTGTCAAGGGCTAAGAAATAGGCTACTTTGGTTCCAAATGCTGTAACTTTTGACTACTTCATGATATTACCACAAAATTGAATGTCAAATAAGAATGATATGAAAAATTTCCCTTGAATACACTAATTTTTCTTACATTTTTTCACCTATTTCTCAGCATGAGAATGCCCAAAAGATTTCTATCAAACGATACTTTTTGACTCCTTGCTACAGTTTTGGAGTTATGAGTCATTATTTTTGTGTATGTCACTCAGAAAACAACAATTTTTAAAATGCCTTCAGGGAGTCAAGGGTTAAACAAAAGGCCTCTTTTGTTCCAAAATGCTGTAACTTCTGGATACTTTATGCTATTACCACAAAATTTAAAACAGATACAGCTAACATGATGGGGAACATCCACAAAAAAAATATTTTCCTCCTACCTTATTTCTGTCCTGAGATATTGAATGTCAAATAAGACAGATATGTAAAATGTTCCTTGAGCACAAACATTTTTCTTACACTTTTTTTATCAGCTATTTCTCAGCATGACAATGTCCAAATGAAACAATTGTTCTATCTATCAAACGATACCAACCTTTTGACTCTCCTTGATACAGTCTTGGAGTTATGAGTCATTATTTTTGTGTATGTCACTCAGAAAAAACAACATCTTCAGGGAGGCAAAAACTCCTTCATGGCTTAAAGGGTTAATATTATGCAGTGGACCTGAGTTAACTAACAATGAACCTAACATAACGATTAACGTAAAGATTAATAAATATTATAGCAAATTTGTTGGTGATAGTTAATGCATTAGGCTAATTAACGTAAACTAATGGGTCCTTATTGTAAAGTATTGCTGATAACAAAAGACCAGCTATTTAATAGCTGACTAACCAATACAATGATATTGTCAATGCTACGTCCAAAAACAGAGGCAATGTTTTACATTGTACATCTTTATTATTACAAATATAGTGTCTCCTGGTTAATTATAAACAAATGTCCATTTTTGAAATGAAACTGTATTTTGCAAAGGGAATTGGCAGGAAATAAAGCATGAACTGCATATTAGCAATCTTTAACCTTTGGGGTGGTGTGTGATCTTGATCTTGTCTAGCCAGCCCAGCAGATGGGGACACCCATATTCCACGTGTGTTTTGCAGGCATAGGGTTCCTCTTTTTACACGCTAGAACAGGTCAGATTTCAGGTCACGCCTCCAAACGTGTACGCGTAAGATGATTGGACGGCGAGACACGTTCTCAAATAACATGAGTGAAAAAGTTAACTCAGTTTGGTGAGAGTTCCATTTTTTTTTAGTAAATGACAATATTTACCAAAGACGATTAGCCATTTTACAGTGCAGAGAAAAATAGAAAAATAAGTAGAAAAATAACAACTACAATGTCACTTTGCAAAGAGCAATTAGTTCATGAAGAAAAGCAAGAAGCAGTCTTGAGTACACTGGGGGACACTGGAAAGAAGTCCAGAGCGGTCTGTGGTGTTTGTAGTCGGACGTATCGAGACCCTAAAATCCTGCCCTGCTTGCACACGTTCTGCGCTCCTGGTTAATTATAAACAAATGTCCATTTTTGAAATGAAACTGTATTTTGCAAAGGGAATTGGCAGGAAATAAAGCATGAACTGCATATTAGCAATCTTTAACCTTTGTGGTGGTTTGTGATCTTGATCTTGTCTAGCCAGCCCAGCAGATGGGGACACCCATATTCCACGTGTGGTTTGCAGGCATAGGGTTCCTCTTTTTACACGCTAGAACAGGTCAGATTTCAGGTCACGCCTCCAAACGTGTACGCGTAAAATGATTGGACGGCGAGACACGTTCTCAAATAACATGAGTGAAAAAGTTAACTCAGTTTGGTGAGAGTTCCATTTTTTTTAGTAAATGACAATATTTACCAAAGACGATTAGCCATTTTACAGTGCAGAGAAAAATAGAAAAATAAGTAGAAAAATAACAACTACAATGTCACTTTGCAAAGAGCAATTAGTTCATGAAGAAAAGCAAGAAGCAGTCTTGAGTACACTGGGGGACACTGGAAAGAAGTCCAGAGCGGTCTGTGGTGTTTGTAGTCGGACGTATCGAGACCCTAAAATCCTGCCCTGCTTGCACACGTTCTGCGCGGACTGCATTCGCCAGCTCGAGCCGTTTTCTGTGCGTCGCGTGAACGGGGAACGACGTTCGCCAGAAGATGACATGCAGGGGCGCAACTCTGGCTCAACAATCCTGTGTCCTGAGTGCGATTCAGAGGTGGATCTGCCCCCGTCCGGTGTGGATGGGCTGACCATTGACCATCTTGCGCTGGACGAGGTTTTCGCGGAGACCCTGCTGGTGGACTGCAGGGTTTTGTGCGACTTGTGCAGCGAAAGTGACGCGGGGAAGCGCTGTGAGGTGTGCTGTGTCAATCTCTGCGACTTCTGCAGTCAGGCCCACAGGTTAGTTTATTAGAGGCGGTTTGGTAATTAACATGAAAAGTAGCCATTTATTTACCCCCATAAGCCATGTATGACTTTATTCCTAGAACACAAATGGAGATGTTAAAGGGATAGTTAAAAAAAACATCTTCTGTCATAATTTTTTTTACCCTCACGTTGTTTCAAACCTGTATGGTTTTTCCAAGTATAATATTAAATATTATCAAGATTTCCTTTTCCAAAATGATGTATTTTGAGAGCATATGACACGTCCATCTACTGCAATAAAGGATATAGTGGTAATTATTCCTATTAATGCATTCTCAGCTTTGTCATACAAACAGTCGTTGCAAAAGTGCTCCAGACAGGTTTGTACGAGTTGGGAAGTCTTATAAAATAAGACTTAATAAAGCAAGATTATTTAACTCTACTTCTACAAAATGATAAAGAATGTGCAACAGGTGTGTTTTTATGCATTCTATGAAAGTGTTGTGAACTGAATTGTTATATATGCTATTGTAATTGTATAATACTATCATATTTTGTACATCCAAGAAAAAAAATTCAACTAATTTTATCCTTCATCCGTTGATTCCACCATGAAGTTCGGACCTCAAAGAAAATCCAGTTTCCAACTCTAAATTACGACATTGTGGTGGCGTTCACATTTCCGTCATGACTTGAACTCCTGAAATGTGTCTTCCCTGCAGGAGACAGAAGAGGACCACCTCTCACTCTATCCAAAGCCTACAGGAGCTGAAATGTCAGGGTCGTCTCACTAGACCCGTCTTGTGCTCACTGCATCCTGGCCAGGAGTTACGGCTCTTCTGTGAGTCCTGTGACTTCACCGTGTGTCTGGAGTGTGCGGCCACCTTTCACCGTGACCACCACTGTAGCTCTGCCCATGAAGTCATCAGTCATCATGGCGATCGCATCAGGGATCTGGTTGTCAGGAGCTTAAGGCCCCGTCTTGTTCGTCTGGAGGACTCTCTGAGACGCGTGGACACTTCCCAAGAGATGCTGCAAACACGGACTGATACATTGGCGGGTGAGATCCGGGCGTTTGCTCGGAGCTATGCCAGCGCGGTGGAGGCACATTGCTGTTCACTACTGCGATCACTGGAGGACTTAAGGTTGCAGCACAGGAACCAACTCCATCTGCAGAAAGCTCAGCAGCAGCAGGCCTTGTCTGACGTCCGTGGTGGGGTGGACTTTGCAGAACGCCTGCTTACGTGTGGTTCTGACGCTGAAATCCTCAGTGCCAAAGGAGTTACTATGAGGAGACTGATGAACCTTGTGGAGTCGGGATTCGACCCACACCCAACGACGGTCGCCCATGATAATGCCAACAGCATCTGTTTCCTTCCCCAAGAGAGTGCTGGGGAGGTGCAGGGATTTCCTGTGGTGGGAGTCATACATGCCAAGACTGTGGATCCCAGCAAGTGCACGATCCAGGGAGAAGGTGGGAGTAGGGTACTGTCATCGTTGTACATGGATAGGCTTCAAAAATTGTTTTTTGGCAATGGGGGTATTTTTTTTTCAAAACTGACTTAGACCTGATGACTGGATAGTTCACCTGAAAATGAACATTAACAAATCAGATGTGGCTACTTTACACACAACTCTAAAGAACAGATTTTCAGTGAATAATTTGAATAATTTTTGGTCTGTTACTCATAAAAGGCCATCATTTGGTTGTAGCAGACTTGATTTTTGTCATTTTGGAGCTTGACCATGCCAGTCCCAATTCAATTTCCTTATGTTAAAATAAGAATATTCTTTCAAAATTCAAAATATAAAAAAAAAACCTTAGGTTTTATGTTCCATAGAAGAATGTCATACAGGTTTGAAATGAAATAAAGTTCAGTAAGATATGACAGAACTGCTTCCTTTAAAGTAAAAAATTTCAGTAAATCTGCCAGTTGTTTTATACTTTTATTAGCCTTTCTCCCTTTGAATTTGGTCATTAGTCTGTTTTTAACTGTAAATATGATTACTCATGAAGCTATGTGGTCACATGCAGTACAAGTGTTTGGTATGGGGACTTTACTGTGGAATTTTAAGCTCTGTTGGTCAAACACATGATGGTTCAGTGCACATTCCTCAGAAACAGTACAGCTCAGATGAAACTGTATATTTGAAGCTTTCTGAGTTCAGATTGTGTGACAAGATCTTCAGTCTGAAAGTGAGACCTTTTATCCGCATTTGTCCCCCCCCCACACACACACATAGACATACATACACATACAAGTGCACACACCCAAAGGCCCTAGGGCATGGCACTGGGATAAACAGCAGACAACATTCCTGGCTACCATGACAACCCAACCTTTTTATGTACTGGAGCTCCTAGAGTATAATTGTAAAAGGGACACTTATCCAGCTCTGTCCCAGCATGCCACAAGTAGGTTCACAGCAGGAGGAGAATACACTGCTGTTTGCCAGTGGTGTGCGGGCTGACCGTCCATGTCAGGTTTCCCACAGTCACAGAAAACAAGAAACTGTCATTTGTTGGAGCTTGTGTTAAGCGCTGATGTGAACAAGACACAATCCAGTTCTGATTTGATGATTTGATTTCATCAGATCTTTTTACTCCTTTACAAAAAAAAAACATTATAAATCAGAATGCATTTTTTAATTAATCTGTGCACGTTTTTTTTTTTTTTTTTTACCTCATAAGTCTTAATCCAAATGTTATAACACTGAATGTGTTCTTCCTGTGAAACAACAGACTTCTCTCTGGTGACGTATGCCGGACTTCTCCACTCATTTAGTCTGCATAAACCCGTCCCTTTAATGCAATCGACTGCAAGCTTGCATTCAGATTTGCCTCCATCTAATCAACAACTGATGGATAGCACCAAGTCTTTGTCCTATATATTTTTTTATTTTTTGATAAGCCGTTTCACTTGGATGCATGTCTCAATTCAGAAGAAAAGACCTTTCGCTACTTCTGTTACATATCCTGTGTCACTGACACGTGTCTGTCCTTGAATAACTCACAGGTGTGGAAGGAGGTCGTGAAGGCCAGAGGGGAGAGTTCACTCTGGTTTGCAGGGACTCCTCCGGAGAGCAGATGGGCCAAGGTGGAGACCCCGTGCTGGTCAGCATAGGGGTAAGTGATTAATGACCAAATTTTCATTTTGGGGTGGAGTATCCCTTTAAAGGGATGGTTCACCCAAAAATGAAAATTCTGTCATTATTTACTCACCCTCATGTTGTTCCAAACCCGTAAGACTTCCGTTCATCATCGGAACACAATTTAAGATATTTTTTGAAGGAATCTGAGAGCTCTCTGACCCTCCCATAGACAGCAATGGTCCTTACACGATCAAGGTCCAGAAACGTAGCAAGGAGATCGGTCAAATAATCCATGTGACATCAGGGATTCAACCGTAATTTTACAAAGCTACGAGAATACTCATACATTGTTTTCGTACATACATTGTTTTCGTTCAAATCAAAGCGTAAACGGCGTATCCGCGTGGCACAGCTGACACAAACAGCAATCGCAATTTACGTTAAGTGGATACTCTCCAAAATGGCGCTAGGGTGATTTCTTTTGCGCACAAAAAGTATTCTCGTAGCTTGGTAAAATTATTCAATTCAATTCAATTCAAAAATATCTTAATTTGTGTTCCGAAGATGAACGGAGGTCTTACGGGTTTGGAACGACATGAGGGTGAGTAAATAATTACAGAATTTTCATTTTTGGGTGAACTATCCCTTTAAATTAAACAAGAATGAGATTTCTGAAGTAGTAGAAATAATAAACTGAATGTGTTTTAAATACACTATAACACAAGCCTAGAAAGGAAAAGACGAAATTGGAGTTAGAATACTACACATTCCATTATCGGCATCTGATATCAGACCTTATCATATTCAGACTGTGACTTTTCATGAGTGTGTCTGTCACTTTACAGCTCTGTGGAGGCGGCTGTGGTGGATAAGGGTGATGGTTCCTATGGTGTGTCCTACACCCCAGCTGAAGCAGGTCTTTACTCTGTGTGGGTCTGTGTTAAAGCACAGGACGTCAAGGTAAGTGTTTAGTTAAACCAGTGCAGCTGTGTCTAATAATGATAGCATTTTACTTGCCAGTTTAAAAGAATATCAGTGATGCTGGGAATGATATTCTAACAAAAGGTGGTTTCTAGGGTTCACCATTTGTGCTAAATGTGAAAAGGAAGTTCAGATGTCACCGTGGCATATTCCATTGTTGTTCCTTCTGCTCCAGCGGGGGCACTAAAGAGGCACGCTGTGGCTGCACAGGAACTATGCCAGGTACTGTTTACTCTGTTTTTGTTTACACCAAAAATGTAAAAAAAAAAAAAAATTTTTTTTTTTTTTTTTTTTTAAAGTCTGTTTTCACCTAATATGAATTTCTGTGTGTTTGCGCACTCAGGAGGGTTTCAGGGTTGTGGACATGGTCATACAGGACACCCCGGTAAGCCCCACTGGTCATGTTGTGGGAGTGTAGTGGAGGCCTCAGAGTGTATTCTACATAACCTGGGCAGCGTTTCTCCTCGTGGACACCTCAGGACTGTGGAGCTCTGAGACAAACAGCAAATATACACTCTATCTGATCAACATAACCATAAACTCATGCACATACTTGAATCTTCTCAACCAGCCTAATTCACAATGAAAAATCAGATTGTGCTTTTCATGTTGCCCTTATTCATACAGACTTTAAGCCTTAATTTGTGTGATAAATCTTTTTTGTTGTTTCAGCAGTGCTAATATTCAGAATCATGGCAGTCTCATAAACTGCAGTAGGCAAAGTATATTTAAAATTGTGTTGTCTATTGTGCATCGTGCCAACACTAAATACTTCAGTACTGTCAGTATTGTAAAAATTTAATTATTTTCTCTACACATTGTAGTTATTTTTAAACACTGTAAAATTTTAATGTCTGTGGCATTTTGTAGTTCCGTATTTTATCATAATCAGCATGTTTCCTTTGATATTACCCAGCTATATGACCAATGAGGTATGTGTTATTATAATGCTTTATTTTTATATGCTCCAAAAGCTGCCTTTGTAATTTTATGCATCTATTACATTTCAGTTGTTTTTGTATACGCTGCATCGGTGCCACAGATTAAACAACACTTACCTCTCCACTTGTGTGGTAACTAAACTGGCACTTTTAAGATTATAATTTTGATTGTTAATGTAATATGTTTTGCATAGTGTATACTCTGTGTAGTGTGGTCTATAAAACATGCATATAAAACATATTTTAATCTGTGCAGTCATTGTTTGGTTCTCATCAAACAACTAATAGTTTTACAGTGAGTCTTTTTAGATATACAGGTGCATCTCAATAAATTAGAATGTCGTGGAAAAGTTCATTTATTTCAGTAATTCAACTCAAATTGTGAAACTCGTGTATTAAATAAATTCAATGCACACAGACTGAAGTAGTTTAAGTCTTTGGTTCTTTTAATTGTGATGATTTTGGCTCACATTTAACAAAAACCCACCAACTCACTATCTCAACAAATTAGAATACTCCATAAGACCAATAAAAAAAATTTTTGTTAAATGTGAGCCAAAATCATCACAATTAAAAGAACCAAAGACTTAAACTACTTCAGTCTGTGTGCATTGAATTTATTTAATACACGAGTTTCACAATTTGAGTTGAATTACTGAAATAAATGAACTTTTCCACGACATTCTAATTTATTGAGATGCACCTGTATTTGCCACTTTTTTCTTACTGATTTTAAGCACAGATTTTTTGAAATCAGAAGTGACGGTTTAAACTTAAAATGCTTAACAATGGATTTTCGCTTTTCACTTCACAAGATGTTAACTGACAGACTGGCGTCGTGGATTATTGTGATGTTTTTATCAGCTGTTTGGACTCTCATTCTGATGGCACCCATTCACTGCAGATGATCCACTGGTGAGCAAGTGATTTAATGCTACATTTCTCTAAATCTCTTTAGAGAAGAAACAAACTCATCGTGCTGGATGGCCTGAGGGTAAGTAAATTTTCAGCAAATTTTCATTTTTGAGAGAACTACTTTTAACAGTTCTACACAGTGGATATGTTTTAATCAACATAATGGATTGTTCTGTCTAACACTAGATGGCAGCAGTGCTTTGTGCGGAAGTTGCATTGCTTGGTGGCTAAATTTCAGTGATGATGAGGAGTTTGCTGTTTCTCAATTCCAAGAACGCACTTGTGTTCTCGTGGTGACTGGTCTTGCCAGGCTACCTTGAAAGAACACAGAACGCATCTTTGTGAGAATTGAGATGCGCTGTGATCTTATTGCTCAACTGACCGTCCCAGCACGTTATAAGGAGCGAGACAGCAGCACACGCAATGCACAGTAAATAACACGTAACATCACAAACAACAAGACAAATGTTATAACCCTTTTAAAACATTTATTTCATATTATTATTGGCAATATTTTCATATTATTTTATAGCTTTTTATTTACCGCATGTATTTGTGAAAATGACCAGGACATATTCTTAGCCAATTTTAATATGCCAGTAAAAGTACGTCAGGCTTTCTCCAGGTCTTTATCACTTCATTAAAATTATGTAAAACAAAACGACAGATGTTTACTTTAACGAGCCGTCATATACAGCGTCGGCGCCACGGGGGGGCCTGAGGGGGCCCGGCCCGGCCACCTCGGTCACTGTGCCCCCTCACCTCTGGTGCCGTCTCCGTAGTGGGCGCCCTGATTTTAGTCGGTGAGGCAAGGTACTGCCCCGGGAAGGTCTCCCAGGCTGTTAAATACACAGATTAAAAGCGAAATGTTTTCATTTCGGTTCGTTCTTTGCAAAACATTTTTTTTTCGTTCAGGTTATGCAGAGCGAAATAAGAACGGTGCTGCATTTAGAAAGAATTCTTATTAACTTTGCTATTATTCTTGAATTTTCAAACTGCTAACACTTTGCACTTTGCAGTTTCGAATTATGCCTTTACTGTATGACCAAAAATTACGGAGTAGTCTATTTGTGGTCTCTTGGTGCATAAAGAAGATCTGTAAATTTGCAAAGACTAAGTCTCAAATCCAAAGAGATATTCTTTATAAAAGTTAAGAGTCAGCCACACCCCCCTAAAACGGCTCGTTCGAACACGCCCCCACATATCTACCTCACTATGTGGGAAGATTTGCATAACGCCGCCCAAATGTTCACGCAAAGAAAGAAGGCGTAACTTTTATTCTCGCTGTAGTATTGTTGCCGCTGCCGCCATGTCCTGAAGACGCTATGTGCTTCGTTGTGAAAGCGAAGCTACTTTGTTTGGTCTTCCAAAAGAGGACGATATCCGCTTCCTCATGCCTGGAGCTGATCCGTGCTGGTCGCTGAGGAAATACAACAACTTTGCGCTGTGGATCGCCGGATCGGCTTTCACCGCACCTTCGCCGGGACCGCCGTTCTCGACCCCCCCGCCTCAGCTCACTCTTGCCCGGCCTCAGTTCACGCTAAGCCGGGGCTTTCGCTCATGCTAGGCCGCTGTGTTTTTCGTTGTGAAAGCGAAACTACTTTGTTTGGTCTTCCAAAAGAGGACGATATCCGCTTCGTCATGCCTAGAGCTGATCCGTGCTGGTCGCTGAGGAAATACATCAACTTAGTGCTGTGGATCACCGGCACATTTTATGGAGGACTGTTTACTGATCCTGGGAGAGTAACGTTAGACTAAAATGCCAGCAGTTCTGACTCACGTAAGTACGTTTTCATTTAAAGGATTTGCCACTGATGATTCAAACGCGAGTTTTGGGCAGTAGAGTAGCACTTGTTGTTTGTCATTTCTCTGATCACAAATACAGACAGGGTTATATGTTTACGCGGCACGATGCAACGCAACGCGTAAAAAGACAGTATAAGTCATTATAATCAGTAATTATGTCCCCACTGGATGCAACAAATGCCTCGTTTATAATGGGTTTTAATGTTCGCATGCAATCTTTGACGAACACCCAATTCATATATCAAACTAGGCTATATGTTATTAAATTGTACATTGGCTATATATCAAAATATTTTATTTACAAGTTTCATGTTTGTGTTATCCCGTTTTTTCCCCCGTTGCATCTGAAAATTACTTTCAGAATTTTTTTTTTTTCAAAGCAGATTTAGAGTATTTAGAGCCATTTTAGAGTATCACAACATATACGCACGCTTTCCCCTAAGCATAAACAACTCTGATTACGCAGATTACCTTCATGAGCCTGCTTTCTCCTCCGAACGTAAACAACGCTGATTACGTCCATTACGCTCTTGGGTAGCCTACTCTCCAAAATGTCGGAAGACGTAACTCGGGGGAGAAGAATTGTTAAATAAATTGTTATTTTTGTTTTCTTTGCGCTCAAAAAGTATTCTCGTAGCTTCGCAAAACTGAAGTTGAGCCACTGATGTCACATGGACCGTTTTACCGATGTCCTTACTACGTTTCTGGACCTGGGAACATTACAGTTAAGTTGCTGTCTATGCAGGGTCTGAGAGCTCTCACATTTCATCAAAAATGTCTTAATTTGTGTTCCGAAGATGAACGAAGGTCTTACGGGTTTAGAACGACATGTGAGTAATTAATGACAGAATTTTCATTTTGGGGTGAACTAACCCTTTAATGTGACCTATTAAGGTAAAACATTTTAATGTAAAAATGTATATTTACTAGGCTATATAAAATGTATACATTATATATTTATCTCCACTTGCAAAAAGAAGCCTGCGATTAATCCCAGAAAAGATATCAGACAATGACCTCTAATATTTTTCTTCCATGCCATGCACATACAAAGCAGTGGATTAAAGTAGCAGTCAATCTGATTCAGAAGGACACCATACATGCTTTGAACCCTTGGTTTTCTCTTTGAAATCTCTGAGCTCACACAGTCAAGGATATGAGGAGTTCTGTAAGCCTGCAAACAAATGAGTTTTTATCAGAACTGTTCAATAAATGTATCTATTTATTATAATCTACTAATTATCTGATATATTAAGTGGCTATTTATGGTCATTATTAAGATGTCCTTGCTAATTTTTTATAGTTAATTATTTTGTGTTTATTAAAAGGGATGTTTTTAGTTAATACCCCTAGTTTACATATCTATACAAAGATCCGTTTTCATCTATATTTTCTTAAATATGAATTGTATATGTATGGATTGTGCATAACCCTATCCCTTTTCCTATTTATAAAACCGCTTATATTTATATAGCCTAAACTTAAGGAACAATAGAACTGATGTTTTATCCATGTCTTTATGTACGTTTTCATTAAAAAGAAAAAAAAAAGTTTATTTTCCTTTTTGTTTGATTAACAAATTTAAAAGTAGTGTTAAATCTAATTTGCATTTCAGAGAAGAATCTCAAATGTGACCCACATATGTAATCTATGGGGGCTAAAATAACTATGCATTAATCTGAATTGGTTTGATGGCACACATCTCAGATCACATGACAGATTCAAGTCTATTTAGGGGGGGAGGGTCTGTTACACTGATGCTATGACCTGGATAGAATCTAAATGGGCGTTGGGATGGGGGCTTGGATGGAAGAAAGTGCAGATCATAATATAAAGCATATATATACTTGTGCTACTTGTTTGTCATCCAGAAGAAGTCACTAATGGTGTACATCGTTAAACTCGTTGCCTGTTTTTCAGAGACCTCATATTCCTTGGTGTGCACTTCTTCTGTGAACAGCTTTACGTAATCCTCATGGGCTCAAGAGCTGCTCGCTATCATATCTGTTGATATTGGATGCACTCAGTCATTCAGCTGCCTCTTCTCATTGCATTTGTCATCTCTCGGTCTAAAACACATTGTCTTGTTTGGCAGTGTTTACCGAGCTCTTTACACTTCATTTATCATTCACACTTGAGGTCTAACGCATATTCTTTCTCTTTATGTTTTCTCCACATGCCCTTTGGTAAATTGCTCTGTCTGATGTAAACACTCTGTGCTTTTGCCGTATCCATTAGTATGTGACTACAGTCTGCCTCATATCTCTAATCTCCCATCAATCCTTCGCAAGGTGAGAACTCTTCCTCACCTGTCAGCAACATGTCATGTCACAGTGCCGAGACCAGATTGTTGTGACAAAGCTTGACAACCCAGGATGAAAGCTTCTTTATCAAACTGCAAAAGCACTGAAGGGAAGAATAACGCATGTGCCAGAGAGTTTTGAATCTGGGACTGTGTTGTGGTTGAATTATTCAGTTGGATTAGTTAACATTAGCAGTTTGTCAATAATTCATTCACCAGGAGAAA